GCCAAGATAAACCAAGCAATTTACCAGGAGGTGGGCAGCAGCGCAGTCCTCCAGAGAACTCCTGCAGCAACTAACAGCTGCACAAGGGAGATAGCATAGAGGCAGGGCAAACCCGGATTAAAGCACTCTGAAAGACCCGCCCCCCTGCGCTGAAGAATAGAATCGGTGTGCTGGGGGTGGGGGAGGAATCAGCGCCATTTACAGGGAACCTGGGAAGCTTTGCAAGCCGCAGAAGAGGGCTCGAAGAGCTGCATGCCGCCCACGTGCCACGGTTTGGCCACCCCAGTCTAGCCTGTCCTCACTGCCATTGGTTGTCGCTCTCGAGTACCACCACGTGCCCCCACTGGAGCCACTGCCAGTAATTACGGAGCCCTTCTGAATGGACTTCGTGAGGCCATCGCCCAGAAGGCCCTGAGGGGACAGCTGTGTGCTGGTGTTAGTGGGTTATGGTACCAGCTTCCGGGAAGCATGCACTGGGGAAAAGCCCGCGGACTAGGACTTAACGTTGGACCCCCTCGTGTTTGCAGTGACGGAAGTGTTTCAGGACTCCCGTTCAAGAAGCTCTGTTCCAGTACTGGTATTAGTGGGTTATGGTACCAGCTTCCAGGAGGCCGTCTCCTAGCATGCACTGGGGAAAAGCCCGCGGACTAGGACTTAATGTTGGACCCCCTCGTGTTTGCAGTGACGGAAGTGTTTCAGGACTCCCGTTCAAGAAGCTCTGTTCCAGTACTGGTATTAGTGGGTTATGGTACCAGCTTCCGGGAGGCCGTCTCCCAGTATGCACTGGGGAAAAGCCCGTGGACTAGGACTTAACGTTGGACCCCCTCATGTTTGCAGTGACGGAAGTGTTTCAGGACTCCCGTTCAAGAAGCTCTGTTCCAGTACTGGTATTAGTGGGTTATGGTACCAGCTTCCAGGAGGCCGTCTCCTAGCATGCACTGGGGAAAAGCCCGCGGACTAGGACTTAACGTTGGACCCCCTCGTGTTTGCAGTGACGGAAGTGTTTCAGGACTCCCGTTCAAGAAGCTCTGTTCCAGTACTGGTATTAGTGGGTTATGGTACCAGCTTCCAGGAGGCCGTCTCCTAGCATGCACTGGGGAAAAGCCCGCGGACTAGGACTTAATGTTGGACCCCCTCGTGTTTGCAGTGACGGAAGTGTTTCAGGACTCCCGTTCAAGAAGCTCTGTTCCAGTACTGGTATTAGTGGGTTATGGTACCAGCTTCCAGGAGGCCGTCTCCTAGCATGCACTGGGGAAAAGCCCGCGGACTAGGACTTAATGTTGGACCCCCTCATGTTTGCAGTGACGGAAGTGTTTCAGGACGCCCATTCAAGAAGCTCTGTTCCAGTACTAGTATTAGTGGGTTATGGTACCAGTTTCCCGGAGGCCGTCTCCCAGCATGCACTGGGGGAAAGCCTGTGGACTAGGACTTAACGTTGGACCCCCTCCTGTTTGCGGTGACGGAAGTGTTTCAGGACTCCCATCCAAGCAGCTCTGTTCCAGTACATTCGTGGATGCATGCCCCGAGGGCTGTGGGTTGTATTGGTGGAAGACTTGTGTGGTCTGCGGCAGGCACCCCCTCAGGAGATGGAAACGTATGTCTGGAACCTGCAAGAGATTCTGAGGAATACCCAGAAATGGGTCCATCGATACCTGACCGAGGCTCAGAGGGCACAAAACGAGCCGTGCAGCAGACAATTCTGTCTGCGGGATTTGTCACCAGAGGAGCAGCCTTTGTGGGGCCCCTCCCATCACAGGATACTGGGGGGACCAATCTGTACATGGTCCAAATCAACCAATCCCAGACACCAGTAAGTGGCTGCATGTTAATTTGCTGAAGGAACAGCAAGAGGAGACGGCCATTATTCACCATAACGGAGTAGGCTCCTGACGTCCAGGAGGTCCCGCACTGGAATCAAGAAGCAACAAGCCTGCCGGAGGTACCCCCAAGAAATGCCTATGCCACCCCAGGAACAGAGACTGTGAGACTTGCTAGGCTGATAGTAAAGTTAAAGGTTTCCCTTGCTCGAAAGCCAGTTGAATCGGACTCTAGGGTCGTGGTGCTCATCTCCGTTTCAAAGCCGAAGAGCCAGCGCTGTCCGAAGACGTTTCCGTGGTCATGTGGCCGGCATGACTAAACACCAAGGCGCACGGAACGCTGTTACCTTCCCACCGAAGTGGTCCCTATTTATCTACTTGCAATTTCTTGCTTTTGAACTGCTAGGTTGGCAGGAGCTGGAACTAGAGACGGGAGCTCACTCAGTCATGTGGCACACTCGTGTCTCGAACTGTTGAACTACCGACCTTCCACAGCCTGCAGTTCAGCGTCTTAACCACTTGAGCCACTGCAGCTCAATACCAAGGGGTATTTTCACCCTTCCTGGGTGAAACAGCAGAAGTCACTCATTGAATAAAGTGAAGGAGCCCCTACAGAAGGAGCCTCTGGCCCAGAAGACCTGAGACCCAGTCCACCGGAAGATAAGATGCCATGCTGAAACTGGGGGTGATAGAGCCCTCAGTCTGTGAAGGAGCCCTATCGTGTTAGACCTGGAGCTATATGTGTCTGGACTTCGGAGGAATTGAACAGAGTATCCTACCCCAGAACCAAGTACCGCAGCTACTAAAAAGGTGAAGCACACTACATAATAACCCTAGATATGACCAAGGGCTACTGGCAGGTTCCATTCAGGGCCCAAGATAAGGAAAAGACAGCCTTTGCCACACCAAGGGGACTGTATCCATTCATGACCATGCCCTTTGGGTTACACCGAGTGGGTGCTACATTGCAGTAATTGGTGGACCATTTGCTTGGCTATGCCAAGAGTATGTGGCTGCCTACATAGACAGCATGGAGATATTCAGCTGGTCTGGTCATGGACTGAACACCTACAGCATTTCGAAAGCATGCGAAGTATAGTCTGGGTGGCTGGGCTACACTTGAATGCCCGTAAAAGTGTTCTGGTCTAACCCTGCATCTACATGGGAGATGGGGAGGTCCAGACGGTACAGGAGATGGAAAAGGCCCTCCAACAACTGCCCATGATCAAGAAACACGATTCCCCATTGGAACAATTCAAGTCAATTTTGCATGCACTTTTTTTTTTGGGGGGGGTCATCAACAGTATTGCTTTTCTTGTTTCTGGTTTTGCGTCCTAGCTAAAATTGCACTCAAAAATTGTGCACTTGGAAAACTTAGGGAGAAAACCCACGGTAAACTGGCATATCTGCTCAAGGTAACTGAAAATCAAATGCTATTACTGTTTTACGGTGATACTAAAAGAACAGTCCCCGAAGAAAAACAGGGCTCGAAACATCTGCTATTCAACAAATAAATATCGGTAACATCCACTATTACTCTGATTTTGCCAGACAAGAATTCACGACTGCTCTGGGAGATGTTCTTGCTTAGATGAGTTTTTATTTTATTTGAAGTAGCTGAGATAGAAGCACAGAAGAAAGATCTAACATGTAGCAATGTTCCGCTAAATCAGGTTAAGAGTGTGAGCTTGGAGCCAGGAAGCCTCGGGTTTAAATATTGCCTGTGAACTCACTGTGAACTCACTGTGACCTCGAGCTAGCAGGAGAATTTCTTTTTTCAAAATCCCCCCCTTTAAGGTAATGCAAATGTAGGGTTTTTAACACGGTAAACCACTATTTCATTGCAAAGTATACATGTTTTTAAATAGCAGGAGATCTGACACTTGTATTGCAGGATCTGCTTCCTTGCGACTTAATGTTGGAGTGATGTCAACCTTCATTGCAACAAACAAAATAACCTTCCCAAGTTTCACACCCACTTTCAACACATTTGAATATTCATTTGTGCATCGTGTGTCTGCACTGGTTCAGCCCCGATTCTGAATGGGTTTAGACACACTGGAGATGAACACGTTTTGACCTAGCCATTTGGTCTCGCTGTAATGATCTGCAAATCATTAAATACTTTGGAAGCATTGGACATCCTAATTTTAGAAGCTTGGAAATGCTAATTTTCGTTGAATCTGCATGCCAGAATGTAGTTTTATGGCATGACATGGAAAAAAACCCAGATTCTAAATTATAGGGGAACTGCAGAATGTGTGATATGAATTCCACAGCACTTAACTCTGCAGCCTTAAAACCAGCTTTATACCCATTTGACAGAGAAGTCTCATCTGCCCTCCCGAGATAAGCTATGATAATCAAACACCTTGCGTTGCCCCTCACAGAACTACACATTCCAAGAAGCCATTATAGCTAAACTAAGTTAGGCTTGTTACATAGATGATGAAGAAGAAGAGATTGGATTTATACCCCGCCCTTCACTACCCAAAGGAATCTCAGAGCGGCTTACAAACTCCTTTCCTTTCCCCTCCCCACAACAGATACCCTGTGAGGCAGGTGGGGCTGAGAGAGCTCTGACAGAGACTGCTCTTTTTCAAGGACAGCTCTTATCAGAACTACGGCTTGCCCAAGGTCATCCAGCAGGTACAGGTGGAGGAGTGGGGAATCAAACCCAGTTCTCCCAGATTAGAGTCCGCACACTTAACCACTACACCAAACTGGCTCTGAAGGGGCACGTTTAGAATTCACAAATGGTGAGGCGATACTGGTTGCACTTTTTGTCATTCCACCCGCCGTCCGTGTACATCTCCACACAGTTTTCCGCTCCGTTGCCATTTGGTTCATAGCGACGCCAGTTTGTATAGTTCAGAGATGACTCGTCCAAATAAAGGAATTCCCCTGGCACTGGGCCCTCCTTCATTCCCAGGTAGGCGTATCGATTTCTCTCTTTCACGATACCCAGAATGGCTTCATTCTCTGCTTCGTTCTGGGGGGTTGCAACCGAGCCCCCGGCATTTAGACACGTTTGGCGCGTGGTTTCAAAATCCACTTCTTTCCCATCGGTAGCAAGTATTTTGTCTCCGACTTTAGTTATCATTCTTTCCAAAGCAAGGACTGCAAACGAGAGGAAAAATCATGGTTAACTATTCAATAACTTCTACAAACTAATATTCTTATGTGCACCATCCTGGTTTGGCGGCCATCAAGTGACTGAAATGCTGTGTCACTACATCGAATTGCAGAAGTTACTTGCTGGACTGTATCCCAGTCCCTACCAATGAGCACCACTAAAAAAAGGCAGAGGGATATGACACCCTTTCCAGAGGGTGTCAGGAGGAAGTGACATAGCTGCTGGGGGCTAGCAGAACCTGGCACCAGGAAATGACATCGTCACCCTGTGCCCACATTCCCCCCGATACAGGTTTTTGCATTGGTTTTTAATTTTTTTTTTAATTTTAGAAAATGATAATAATAAAAGGGATACAAAGGAAAGAAAGGGGGGAAATATATCAAAGATCATTATACATTGCTGGGTATATCAAACAAGAAATTGAAAAAAAAATTCTCCCCAACATCTCCTCCATCACAATTTTAAAATATTTTCTATAAGGCACAGTGATCCTTACTTTGGACATTTTAAATTTCAAATTTTTATTAATAATCTGTTTTGCAACTCCATTATTAATTTCATTACTGCATACTCTGTATTACATATTTCATCGTTTCATCTCTCTTATAGATCACACAATTAAAAATAAAGAATATTTTGTCCCAAATCCAGTTCCTTGAACATTTATATTCAAAACTTAGTTAATAGGCCTGTCTGACTACTGTGAATCAGTAAAGAAATACCTGGGGACACTGGGGGGGGGGGGAGTCTCTCTCTCTCAAATCACTTCCCGGTTCCTCTAAAAACTCGTAAATGTCTACAGCCAAGCCTACTGAAGTAGGGATAAAATAAAGGATTTTTCAGCAAAGGCTGTTCTTTACCTGTATAAACAGGTATGAAAGATGGTAATCGGAACAGTTACCTCCTTCAAGACGTAGGACTTTCTGCCTCAGATGTCTGAGGACCTTCTGCACTTCCGGGTCAAGAGAAGCAGGAAGACCTGCAAAGCGGTGTGAGAAGGAAAAAAGAGTGAAATTCAGTGACATTTCTAGCCACTGCAAAACCAAATGCTTTGGGTGCAGTATCGGGGGCACATGCAACAAGCCCCGCCCCCTGCTCCCAGCAGCCCTCAGTCAGAGCAAGAAGCAGCCAGGTAAGTTGCAGAGTCCCCCGTGGCCCCCCGGTCCAAAACAGTCCAGTGGTACCTTTAAGATCAAGTTTTATTCAGGTACAAGCTCTCCCTCCTCTGTGAGGACAGATCTGCATGTCCCCCCCCCAATAGCTAGCAATCCAAAACAGTCCAGTGGAGGCTGAGCGGTGGGTGTTGCCTTCTGACACACTTCCGGTGATGTCAGGGGGTGTGGCATATGCAAATAAGTGATGCTAATGAGCTCCTGCATCTCTTTTTCTACAAAATGACCCCTGTTGTTGAGTATTAAATACTTAATACTATGCCAGTTTTATCATAATTTTCGAACCGCTGGCTCAGGCTGTTGAGAGTTCCTTGATGAATATTCCCTCTGCCTGAGGAAAGGCGGGGAAAACTGGCTCCTAAAGGGCTCCGAAAGGGAAGAACAGGGATTAATTAAGTCTCTGTGTGATAAACATAATGCGTTGGTTAGGTTCCAATCCTCACCCCTGTGACAGAAAGCACGTGTAAGCAATGGTCTTCATTCTACACTTTGGGAAGAGCACTGGATGTTTTCCACATTGGTGGTGTGGATGATGGCACGCGGAAAAGTTATCCAGGATGCCTGGGTATTACTGTACTTTAGGTACAAAGACAAATATGGTCACAGTCCATAGACATGAAAAGATAGAGCCACAGGAACTGTGTAAAGTGCGCTCAATGTTTCTTTAACGATAGCAATAATGTTATAGATAAGAAAATTACAAAAGTGATACTAATACACTCAAATTGTAAATCCAGTTACATATGATAGAAGATAACAACGACAGCGGGACGGTGGTCTCCGGAATGCGATGCCGTTTCGACAAACGTCTTCTTCTGACCAAAAATCTATAAGTGGATGACGTATGGAAAGTTGCACTTCAATAGAAAAGCTACCCGATTCACATGGAGTCCAATAACAGTTTCACCTATTTCATTGCACAAGTAATGACAATTTCTCTCAGACGAAGTAAAGTTTATGTGTCCCACCGTCGTTGTTATCTTCGATCATATGTAACTGGATTTACAATTTGAGTGTATTAGTATCACTTTTGTAAATTTTCATATCTATAACATTATTGCTATCGTTAAAGAAACATTGACCGCACTTTACACAGTTCCTGTGGCTCTATCTTTTCATGTTTATTACTGTACTCTAGACATGATGACGATTTTTTCCCCTTTTACCTTGTGGTCCAGTTTCTCCTCTGTCTCCCTTCTCGCCTGGCTCCCCTTTTCCCCCTTCTGGACCAGGAAGTCCATCTCTTCCAGGGGCTCCTGGCAAGCCATTCGGGGGTCCCATAGGACCTGGAAGAACAGACAGCAACAAGACTTCGCAAGCCACTCTTCTCCACAATACACAGCAAGAAAACCAAAGGGTAAAGAGAATGCTTCCAAAGCAGCAGGTCGAACTACAGGCTCAAACCACACAGGATTTATATGCCGACTTCCTTGGAACGACAAGCTAAAAACTGAAATATATGCACCGTTTCTTTCTGTTTCTCATTAATTTGAATCCCCCCCCCCCCCTAAAGTCCCTGTGTCCTGTGCTGGGTGGCCCAGGCCAGCCTGATCTCATAAGGTCTTAAAAGCTAAGCAGGGTCAGCCATGGTTAGTACTTGGATGGGAGACCACCACCGAGGAAGTCCAGGCCTGCTACACAGAAGCTGTCAACGGCAAACCACTTCAGTTAGTCTCTTGCCTTGAAAACCCTGTAATGTCAGCTGCAGCTTTACATACACAAACACACACAAAGTCCATGTATTGTTGAACTGGTTAGCACAGCGGTGAGTTTCAGTTATACAATTCATTGCCACTGGTTTCACTGGGAAACTGATTTCTGGCTTTAGGCCCCCCTCCCAATTGGGACAGAATTACCAAGGATTATAGTCCTCACTGAAAGACTTGTGTCCAGGGCCGGCTCACTCACTAGGCGAACTAGGTTTACGCCTAGAGAGTGCCGGCCCTTAGGGGCACCAAACTACACCTGGCCCCCCACCAAAAGCCCAACCAGCCCGCGGATGGAGGACCCGAGGTGCCGATGGGGAGCCCCTCCGCCCCTCCCCTCTCTGCCTTGTCTTGGAGCGGAGAGAGGAGCAGCCGACGCCGCACTGGCGGGTGGTGGTCTTGGGCGGCAGGCTGGGGCCGGCGACGGCTGCAGTGGCGGGCGGTTCCGCAGGCCATTCCCGACCCCAGCCCTGCCTCTGCAGCCAGGGGCCGAGGGCCGGGCCGGCTCAGTGACCCGCTGCCAAGTCTGCAATCCTCTAAAATGATAACTAAAGGAAGATATTGGAGAAAACAATATGATAAGTCTGTTTTAGGGGTGCATATTTAGTTATTTGTGCAAAAATTTATTTGTGTGCATAGGTCTCAAAAAGGTCTTGTATTAAGAATAACAAACTATGATTTATTAGTTACAAATCTGTAAGATTAGATTACAGTGTTAAAAGGAGTAGACCCATAGGAATTGTATGTTTATAAATGAGGATGATTTATAGGAAATGTATGTTTATAATTAATCCAGTAGTAGATAAAAGATAAAATTATTTAGTCTGGGTTACAGGGTTAGTTAGAGCATGAAATTCAGTTAAGATAGGGTTTAGGTTCTAAAGGTAATGCAAATTGGGCTACAGTACTTGATAGAAATTGTTAGTAAGGTTGAGAATAAGAAATGAATTTCTAGTGAAGTACACTATTTGATTGACGTGATGCTTTGTGTTGTTGAAAAGGGGAAATGTTTGGTTTTCTGTTTTATGTCGGGTGTGTGTGGTGGTGGTGTGTAGATGCGTGATGTTTAAAGGTGTGGAAAATAATAAAAAGTATTAAAAAAAAAAAGACTGCGATCCTGTGCATTTAGGAGTAAAGCCCCTTTTAAACTTCAGAATTAGCCTGGGCAGGATCAACTTTAAATGGAAAAGCGGAGGCACGATGGGGAAGGGGTTGACCCAGCATCCTCCCACATGCTGGGAAAGGAGCACCTTTGGCGGCAAATTCGGCAGCCTAGAGGGCAGCCTAGACCAGAGTGCTTCATCTTTGCTTGGCCATGAGCTGCCCTCCCAAAGGCAGAGGAGGAGGAGGGGGCCTTCCTCGATCCATCCATTTCACCCACGCATATTCTCAGCTCCTCCAGCTCTCCACCCGCAGAAGCGAAGCGGGCAGCAACAGCAGCAGCCTCCGGGCTGAGAAAGAAGCGCGCGGAGCCCAGCTGAAGTTTGCAGCTCCCCCCCCCCCCGCATGGCACTCCGCAGCTCATCGAACTGGATTGGTCAGGTTATGGAGGGCAGAGCTGAGTTGACTCCGCGGCCTGCCCCCTTGCCCAGCCCGCAAGTGACAGACTGGAGGGAGGAGCGAAGGAAGAGATTGCAGGGGGCAGGGCTGAGGCCGAAGTGAGGCGTCTTGGGGGGAGGCTTGGTCGGGCCGAGCGATGCCCAGTAACTCGTCTGCTGTGGCGGGTGCCATTCACAAAGGCAAATGGAGTCTTCTTCTTCGGAGTCTGCGCACTGGCCCCGAGGGGGTTGCACGTGGGAGCGGGGCTCCTTTTTGCAGGCACCCAGAGAACTGCGGTGAGGGCAAGCGAGAGGCTGGGTGATGCTTCTGAAACAGTCACACCTCCAGCAGCGATCCCAAGCACTCGGCTGTGCCCCTGCCTGGAGGTTGGCAACCCTGTAATTGGTGGGCGCATGGGGGGGGGGGGCCAGAAGGTAGCCTCGCCTCGGGTACAAAAAAACCTGGAGCTGGCCCTGCTTGTGTCGAGCAAAATTAAAACAGACTAAGAGGGCAGGTTCCCATTTTATAGACAACTGAAACACCTCTTGTAGTGCGTGCCCAGGGAGACATTTTCGCAAGCCCAAGAAAGCATGGCAGAGTGGGCATCGTATAAATAATATAAAAAGTGTCATCAGGCTGTTTATGGAGCCAACTACATATTGGGTACGCCTGTCTTGTGTTGCTGATCACAGAGCGTGGACTCTAATCTGGGAGAACCGGGTTTGATTCCCCACTCCTCCACTTGCCCCTGGCTGGATGATCTTGGGCAAGCCATAGTTCTGATAAGAGCTGTCCTCGAAAAAGAGCAGTTTCTGTCAAGAGCTCTCTCAGCCCCACCTACCTCACAGGGTGGCTGTTGTGGGGAGGGGAAGGGGAAGGAGTTTGTAAGCCGCTCTGAGACACCTTTGGGTAGTGAAGGGCGGGGTATAAATCCAATCTCTTCTCTTCTTCTTCTTCAATGTTCTCTCTAAGCTGAGTTAGTGTGAGCTAGCTCACAGTTTTTTAGCCTCCGGCTCACACATTTTTGCCTTAGCTCAGGAAGGAGGGCTCCAGAGCAGACTAACTTAAGTAGTAGCCAAATCGTTCACTCACAACTTTAATGCCAGTCGCTTACAAAGTAGAATTTTTGCTCACGAGACTCCGCAGCTTAGAGGGACCACTGATACACATCACTGTGAGAAAATGGAGGATGCTGCCTGGCCTTTGGGTGTGTGTGTGTAGCGTTTTCTCCCTCTTCCCTAGTCTGTGGCACTCCCTGGGGTCACAAGATTGAAAACAAATATTTATGTTTATCTGCCATACTGACACTACTGCCCATCTCGGGGGAGGGGGGTACATAGCATCCCCCCCCCCGTACAAGCAAAGTATATTTCTCTGTATGTGGCATTCATAGTGCTAGAATAGCAAGCATTTAGGAACCCCATTTTTGTAGAATGAAAGCCCTTCCAAGATACTCCTGTATATGGATACTATTCTGACCTGGACAGCCCAGGCTAGCATGATTTTGTCAGATCTTAGAAGCTAAGCTATGTTGGCCTTGGTTAGGACTTGGATGTGAGACCACCAGGAAGTCCAGGTTCTCATAATGCCCCTCTATAAATCAAGGGTGCGACCTCATTTGGAATACTGTGTGCAGCTCTGGTCACCACACCTTTAAAAGGATATTAAAAAGTGCAGAAAAGGGCAACTCGAATGATAAAAGGGTTGGAACACTTTCCCTATGAGGAAAGGTTAAAGCGCTTAGGGCTCTTTAGCTTGGAGAAAAGACGACTGAGGGGTGACATGATCGATTATGCATGGGAAAGAGCAGGTAGAGAAACAGGTACTTTTCTCCCTTTCTCACAATACAAGAACTCGTGGGCACTCCATGAAATTGCTGAGCGGTCAGGTTAGAACGGATAAAAGGAAGTACTTCTTCACCCAAAGAGTGATTAACACATGGAATTCACTGCCACAGGAAGTGGTGGCGGCTACAAGCATGGACGGCTTCAAGAGGGAATTGGATAAGCATATGGAGCAGAGGTCCATCAGTGGCTATTAACCACAAGGTATAGATAGGGACTCTGGGGCAAGTGATGCTCCGTATTCTTGGTGCTTGGGGGGGCCAACAGTGGGAGGGCTTCTAATGTCCTGGCCCCACTGGTGGACTTCCTGATGGCACCTGGTATTTCTGGCCATTGTGTGACACAGAGTGTTGGACTGGATGGGCCTTTGGCCTGGCCCAACACTGGCGTCTCTTATGTTCTTATGACAGACATTGGGAAACCATCTCTGTTTGTCTGCCCCGACCTAGAAGTCCCAGGCTAGCCCAATTCTCATCAGAGCTTGGAAGCTAAGTTTTGTTGGCCTTGGTTAGGGCTCTAACACAAAGGGTAGGCAATGGCCAACCACCTCCGAACATCTCGTGCCTTGCCTTGAAAGCCCCGTGGAGCTGCCATAAATCAGTTCTGACTCGACAGCACTTTCCACCACCATATGGATATTCTGATTTATACGATTCATTTTTTCCCCTGTACCCATGCACTGCAGACACTGTTCTGCTGGACATTTGTAACCAGACTTGCAAGTTTTGGAGGAAAAGGCCATCCCTCTGACTTAACACGCACATGTGAAATATGTATGAAGAAGAAGAAGAGGAGATTGGATTTATACCCTGCCCTTCACTACCCAAAGGTGTCTCAGAGTGGCTTACAAACTCCTTTCCCTTCCCCTCCCCACAACAGACACCCTGTGAGGCAGGTGGGGCTGAGAGAGCTCTGACAGAAACTGCTCTTTTTCAAGGACAGCTCTTATCAGAATTACGGCTTGCCCAAGGTCATCCTGCCAGGTGCAAGTGGAGGAGTGGGGAATCAAACCCGGTTCTCCCCGATTAGAGTCTGCACACTTAACCACTACACCAAACTGGCTCTCATCTTGGAGAATTCCAGTTTTGCCACGCAAGATAACACAAGGGAGAATTCTCAGAAATCAGAGTAGCTGCCCCATCCTAGGAGGTCTAAGTTTGTCTGTGGATACTATTTGTTTACTAGAAATATCCAGCACTGCATATTGAACAATTACCTGGTGGTCCGGGGTTTCCTTTCATACCATCCCTTCCATCTCTCCCAGGCAACCCATTCGCTCCTGGCGTCCCGGGGATCCCCGGAGCTCCTGCACACTTGTCCTCTCCGTGACACGGCAGGGAAAACACGGCCGCCGCTACCACCACATAAAGCAACTGGTCCAACAGCCTCATTTCTGATCAGTCCTGGAAAAAGAATATGCATTTAACATTGTATGGCATTGCGTCACTTAGTCCCAAATGTGCCATATAAGAAGAAGTGGAAGAGGAAGAAGAGGAGGAGGAGGAGATAGGATTTATACCTCGCCCTTCACTCAGAGTCTCAGAGCGACTTACAAGCTCCTTTCCCTTCCCCTCCCCACAACAGACACTTTTGTGAGGTCGGTGGGGCTGAGAGAGCTCTTTTCAGAACTGCTCTGAGAGAACTTGTGACCAATGTTCCCTCTAAGCTGTGGAGTCTTGTGAGCAAGTATTCTGCTTTGTGAGCCACTGGCATTAAAGTTGTGAGCAAGCGATTTAGCTGCTGCATCAATTAGTTTGCTCTGGAGCCATCCTTCCTGAGCTAAGACAGAAATCTGTGAGCCGGAGGCTAAAAAACTGTGAACTAGCTCACACTAACTCAGCTTAGAGGGAACACTGCTTGTGACTGACCCAAGGTCACACCAGCGGCTGCATGTGGAGGAGTGGGGAATCAAGCCTGGTTCTTCCAGATTAGAGTCCGCAACTCTTAACCAATACACCAAACTGGCTCTATTACCCCTTTAAAACACGCCCTGACTTAGGTGGCTCCAGTGAGCCTGATCTCATCAGACCTCAGAAGCTAAACAGGCTCGGCCCTAGTTGATACTTGGATGGGAGACCACCAAGGAAGTCCAGGGTAGGCAACGGCAAGCTGCCTCCAAATGCCTCTTGACTTGAAAACCCTACAGGGCTTGCTGTGACTTTACAAGCACTTTCTCCCAGCACCCATCAAAACACTGTAGGGAACAAGGATCGGTCCTTAATTCTAAAGGTGAAATATTTCCTTTTTTCCTCCATCCAACTTTCTTCTCTTCCCACGCTCTTCTTGACTGCATCAGTGGCAGCACTTTGGTTAAAGGTCACCGCTCAACTCCTTGACATCTCTAGGATCTCAGACAGCTGACGGTGGGAATGGTCTTCCTCTGCCCGAAATCGTGGAGCGCCTCCACCATTCGCTGTCAGAGATAATGAGTTGGAGGCTCCGATGGAGGAACCAAGGCAGCTTCATCCGTGGTTAAGTTGACCCCAACATCAACGTCTGCATAATACGGCAGCGAAGATTTGAAAATGTTCAAAAACAAGGTGCTGTGAAGAATTATCTTGAAACAATAATACTCGCAGCCAATGTTCCCTCTAAGCTGTGAAGTCTTGTGAGCAAAAATTTTACTTTGTGAGCTACTGGCATTAAAGTTGTGAGCAAGCGATTTGGCTACTGCATAAATCAGTTTGCTCTGGTGCCATCCTTCCTGAGCTAAGACAAAAACGTGTGAGCCAGAGGCCAAAAAATTGTGAGCTAGCTCACACTAACTCAGCTTAGAGGGAACACTGCTCACAGTCAATAAAGCTGACAAGAGAGATCATCGGAGTCGCATTCCAGTTTCTGAGTTACTTACCCTTCTGTTCCACAACAAAACGAAGAGGAGGGTTTCAGATCCACAGACTTAATATAGTGCTGTCGCAGGGGTGGCTTCAGATTTAAGTGGAAATTCGATAAACACTTTTGAACGTAGGTGGACATTTGATCAGGGCGGGCTTGGATGAGTTTTCGGTTCGGTTACACACTCCATCGCTGGGCAAATACTTCAAATGGCTTCAAAGAC